GTACGGATGTGAGAGCTGGACCACAAAGAAGGCTGAGCGCCGAAGAACTGATGCTTTTGAACTGTGGTGCTGGAGAAGACTCTTGAGAGTCCCTTGGACTGCAAGGAGATTCAACCAGTCCATCCTAAAGGAAAGCAGTCCTGGGTGTTCATTGGAAGGACTGATGCTGAAGCTGAAACTCCAATACTTTGGCCACCTGATACAAAGAACTAAGACATTTGAAAAGACCCTGATGCTGGGAAAGATTGAGGGCAGGAGGAGAAGGGGACGACAGAGGATGAGACGGTTGGATGGCATCACCGACTCAATGGACATGAATTTGAGCAAAGTCCAGGAGATGGTGAAGGACAGGGAAGCCTGGCGTGTTGTAGCCCACGGGGTCGCAAAGAGTCGCACACCACTGAGCAACTCAACAACAGCGACACCCAGAAGGACAAGTCAAAACCAATGAGCTTGCGGAATCACTTACACATTTCCAGTTCTACTGGTCCATTTCACAGATTACTGTAACTTTTTCTTTTGGCGGGGCGGTGCGGGGCAGGGGGGGGGGGTGGGGGCGGCGTCCAGTAAGGGAATTGTTTTTACAAGAGCAGCGAGACTACAGTATCTCAAATAAAAGTTGCAAACTCAGAAAAGTCAAGGTCTTGCCGACTGGATGAAAGATCTGCACCGGTTATGACCATCCTAAACAGAGGAATTGATTGGTGGGGGCAGGAAATCCAGAAATTGCTTTTAGGCTACTGCCTGTAGTGGTGTTAGGAAACACATAAACGTTCATTGATTTGTTCCAGACGTGTCCTCGAACGGACCATACAGTTCTGTCTCCACCCCCACAGCTGAGTCAGAACTCCGGAATCTCTCTACCTGTCCACTGAAGGTTGCTGACCCCAAACCAACGCGAGATCCCGCTGTGCAAACAAATTTCCAGGAGGGGCAGAGCGCATCCACTTCAGGAGGAAAGCAAAACAAGAAGAAGAGGAAAGACGCACCCAGAGAGATCCTGGGAGCTGCCACCATCTGGTTTCGATTCCGGGGCTGTGTGTTTATTTTCGGCGTGGAGCTTGTCATTTTCCAAGTGGCTGGCGGGTGAAGGATTCTCATTCAGGCGACCCTTCTTGTAAAGGGCAACATCGCGGCTGTCGTTCCCAAGACTGCGTCCCAGGGTTCCATGAAAATACAGTGATAGTAGGACAACCTCTGTCTCCCAGATCTCTTCAGAGCCTTACAAAAATCCTTCTGAATGGATCCCACGTGTTCTAGGGGGGCTAAGGTATATCATTTGAAGAGACCCCGATGCTGGGAAAGATTGAAGGCGGGAGGAGAAGGGGACGACAGAGGATGAGATGGCTGGATGGCATCACCGACTCAATGGGCATGAGTTTGGGTAAAGTCCGGTGCTGGTGATGGACAGGGAGGCCTGGCGTCCTGCAGCCCATGGGGTCGCAAAGAGTCGGACACGACCGAGCCACTGAACTGAACTGAAATGAAGGTATATCAGGCTCTGGCAGGAGGGCGAGAGAGCTTGGAAGACTCCCATTTCCCCCTCACCCCGCCCAGAGCCTACTCACTATGTCAAGCCCCTTAGATTCCATGCAGTGGTCAAAAAGTCAATTAACTCAAAATAAAGATGAGCTTTATTCACTTGATACTGTGAAGTGTTAGTCGCTCAGTAATGTGTGAGTCTTTGCAACCCCACGGACTGTGGCCCCCAGGCTCCTCTCTCCGTGGGATTCTCCCGGCAAGGATACTGGAGTGGGTTGCCACGTCCTCCTCCAGGGGATCTTCCCGATCCAGGGATCAGACCTGGGTCTCCTACATCTCCCGCTCTGGCAGATGCTGGGCCACCTGGGAAGCGACATCCACTTAGTAAAACGTCAAGTGACCTTTGAGTTTAACAACACGAGGGAACCAACGAAGGATCTTCATGATATTTTAAGACTGCTGCGTGACGGACATCTTCTAATCTGTGCAGGTTTTTATTTCCGCACAACTTCTGTGGCTCAGAATCAGCTGCTTTTTTAACACCTTCGGGGACTTGTTTCAGGAGTAACCCATCTGAGTGAGCGAGGAAAGCTGTAGTTTCTTGAAAATTCCCAGCTTTTTAAGCCTCATCTCTGTGCTGATAACTATTTTCTGCATGGCCCGACCCACCACCCAGCCACCTGCCTCATCGAGCGTGGGGTCTGCTCCTGCTTTACCCACCCCAACTTGTCATAAATTCTAAACTCCGATGTTTAAAACATAGACATCAAAACCTAGGAAAAAAAAACATGATTCCAGAGCTCGGAGTCTACATTTCGTAAACATTTTGCCGGCCTTCCTGGTGTCAGGCAACTGGGCACCTGAGCCTCAAATCTAAGACAGTAATAAAGACCTGATTTTCCTGCCAATGAAGTGCCATGCTGTGCTAAGTCACTTCAGTCGTGTCCAACTCTTTGCGACCCCATGCACTGTACTCCGCCAGGCTCCTCTGCCCATGGGATGCTCCAGGCAAGAATACTGGAGTGGGTTGCCACGTCCTCCTCCAGGGGATCTTCCCGACCCAGCGACCGACCTTCCCAACCTTCATCTCTAAAGTCTCATGCATTGGCAAGCAGGCTCTTTACCACCTGGGAAGCCCCACCAATGACGGGACCTTACCACTAAAAAAAGAGCAAAAACCCCACAATGTTTCTGGTTCTTAGTTTTCTCCTCTGAGTCAGACCATTGCCAAGGCTTCTTTCAAGTCTAGAGACACAGGACAACCATCCTAGCACTGAAGAGCAGAACGTGGACGTCTCTGGGGGCTCAGTGGATAAGAGTGTGCCGCCAGGGCAGGGGACACAGTGTTCGATCCCTGGTCCGGGAAGATCCCAGATGCCTCATGGCAGCTAATCCCGTGCGTCACAAGTACTGAAGTCTGAGCCCTAGAGCCCGTGACCCTCACTGAGAGGAGCCCCTGCAATGGGAAGTCCACGAACCACACCCGGAGAGGAGCCCCCGCTTCCTGCTGCTGGAGAAAGCCCAGGGGAACACACAGCACGCCCAGGAAATAATCAGTTAAAGAAAACAACTGTCTTTGGTCACCCGATGCGAAGAACGGGCTCCTTGGAAAAGACCCTGATGCTGGGAAAGGTTGAAGTTGGGAGGAGAAGGGGACGACAGAGGATGAGACGGTTGGGTGGCATCACCGACTCGATGAACGTGAGTTTGAGCAAACTCTGGGAGCTGGTGATGGACAGGGAAGCCTGGCGTGCTGCCGTCCATGGGGTCGCAAAGAGTCAGACACGACTGAGCGACTGAACTGAAGAAGAAAAAAAAGGGTAGAAAAATAGACACATCTTATCTTGTTTTTCTCCCCTTTTGTCATTTTTAATCTTTTGACATTTAACTTATTAAGACCATTAAGTTATGATTATTACATTATTTAATTTATTATTTATTTTATTTTAATTTATTATTAAATATTATATTTATATCAATTATTAAGTTATTAGAAGTTACTAATATTCAAATGGTGTTGTGAAAATTCTGTATAGCAATTATCCTTCAATTAAAAATAAATTTTAAAAGGTGTTATCAAAAAATAAATTAATAAAAAATAAATTAAAAAATAGAACGGGGTCTCTCTCATATGTTTTTAAGATTTTAATATGTATGAGGGGAACATTTACTAATACACAAATTATTCAGATTAGCTGACTTTTGCACATTAACTGCCCTGGGAATCATTTCATCGTTTCTTTTGCATTTCTTCCCCCCAAACTGCTGTAACTCTGTTCTTAATTATAGGTAATTTATAACGTGATATTAGTTTCTTGTAAACAGAGTGATTCAAAATTTCGTAGTCTTTGCTTCATTGATTGTTATTGTTAAGTACTGACTGTGTTCCCTGTGATGTACAGTTATATCCTTGTAGCTTATCTGTTTTATACATAACGTTGTATCTGTCAATCCCCTGTCCCATCTTGCCCCCCTCCCCTTCCTCTCCCCACAGGGAGCCACTAGTAAGTTCTGTCTCTCTGTGAGTCCGATTCTTATTTGTTATATTTAGTTTGTATTGCTTTTTAGAGTCCACATTTAAGCGATATCATGTAATATTTGTCTTTCTCTGGCTTACTTCATTCAGTAATGGTAGCCTCAACGTCCATCCACATTGCTGCAAATGATATTATTTCACTGTTTTTGGGCGGCTGGCTAACATCCCGTGGTCTATATATATGTACCATATCATCCCTATCCGTTCCTCCATTGATGGATACTTAAGTCGCTTCCACGTCCTGCCGACTGTGAATCGTGCTGCTATGAATACGGGGTGTCAATGTGTCTTTTTTGAAAGAAGAGTTCTGTCTGGATATATGCTGAAGAGTGGGACTGCATGATAAAAACGTCCATCAAAATTAAAGGATGCCTGCTGCTTGGAAGGAAGGCTATGGCAAACCTAGACAGTGCCACTTGAAAACAGAGACATCATTTGCTGACAAAGCTGCGCACAAACCTATGGCTACCTTCTTCCAGTGGTCGTGTACAGACGTGAGAGTTGGACCACAGAGAAGGCTGAGCGCCGAAGAATGGATGCTTTTGAACTGTGCTGGTGGAGAAGACTCTTGAGAGTCCCTCGGACTGCAAGGAGATCCAACCAGTCCATCCTAAAGATCAGTCCTGGGTGTTCATTGGAGGGACTGATGCTGAAGCTGAAACTCCAACACTTTGGACACCTCATGAGAAAAGCTGGCTCATCAGAAAAGACCACGATCTTCACAAAGACTGAAGGCGGGAGGAGAAGGGGATGACGGAGGATGAGATGGTTGGATGGGATGGCATCCCTGACTCGATGGACATGAGTCTGAGCAAGCTCCAGGAGTTGGTGATGGACAGGGAGGCCTGGTGTGCTGTGGTCCACGGGGTCACAAAGACTTGGACACAGCTGAGCGGCTGAACAAAAGCTACCTTGCCCCAAGTCCCATCTCTGAGTTCTTTGGGGCTGTCTTCTTATATCCTGTCCCCCCATGTCCACCCACCAATACAGCGCATGAATCCCTTCCACCCTGCCTCTCCTATTCTGACATAACGATGTTCTCTTCTGGGACTCCTCAGCGGCGGCAAAATCCGCTCCCCCCTCTGTCCGAGGGCAGCATTTCCCGTGGCCTCTCTGCGCAACAGGTGCGCGTTCGCGCCGTCCCCATCCATCACAAGGTCAGCGGATGCATTCGAGCCTTGCAGCTTCTGTCCTCCTCGGCCTTGGAAACAGAACCCGTCATCTGAGGTCCGCGTCTGCCTCTCACGGCTTCTCCTCGCTGGCTGCTGGCTCTGCGGCTTTTCATCACACGCTGGTTCTGGCAGGATCGTTCCTTCCCCACGTTTGACGGAAGCTCTTCCCTGTATTTCCATTTCTTCCTGACGGCTGAACCCCGCGCTCTGAGCCGGGAACATCTGGAATCCCACGCCCTCTCAAGAGAACCTGTTCCACAGTGACTATGTTCTCAATACAGAAAAGGAAGACCAGGCCACCACACCTCGTTTCTTACGTGAGCGGAAAGCTGGAAACCCACAGGCGCGTGTGCCTGAGCTAACTCACTTCGGTCGTGTCCGACTCATCGCCGTTTACGACCAGAATATTCTTGGCTGGGTTCCCGGAGGCTGGTTTTTTTTCCTGGGGAGACAGATACCGGGAGACAGAACGTTTCTTTTCTTTTCTTTTTTGTTGGCCACTCCGCCCGGCAGGTGAGATCTGAGTTCCCTCACCAGGGATTGAACCCGCGTCCCCTGGAGTGGAAGTGCAGTCTTAACCACTGGCCCACCAGGAAAGCTCCCCGACACACACCAGAACATTCTTTCAGCTTGCCACTCTACTCTGAGGCAGACTCCAGAAGCAGTTTTTCCCATGGAACAAATGATAACAATATATGCCCCATCAAAAAAATTGGTTTTTTTTTTTTGATATATCACAAGATATATTTTGATATATTACCAGATATATTTTGATATCTCACAAGAGAGATATTCAAATGCTTTCCAGTGACCGTAAAAGGAAATTTAAAAAATAAACACATTCTGTATTCTTCACGATCTTTAAAGTAAAACCTCTGTTAACTTTGCCAGCGAGGATGCATAGTAAACTTACGTACCCTGAAGTATTGTTTTCATTATACTGGAAAGTGGAAAATTATACTTAGAAAGCTGTGTCCTACTTGAAAAGGATGAGACAGCTGCCCACTTAATTTCCTGTGTGAAATTTCCTAATATGATGGTGTGTGTCTCTTTTGTTTCTCATCCTACATAGCGCGTATTCTCCTCACCCTGTCTCCCTGAGGACACCCAAACTATACAGCTGGTGTTCATGTAGAGGTAACTCACCTATGAGGAAAAGAGCCAAGTGTTACTACCAAACTGTTCAGTTCAGTTCACTCACTCAGTCGTATAGGACCCTTTGACCCCATGGACGCCAGGCTTTCCTGTCCATCACCAACTCCCGGAGTTTACTCAAACTCACGTCCACCAAGTTGGTGATGCCATCCAACCATCTCATCCTCTGTCATCCCCTTCTCCTCCCGCCCTCAATCTTTCCCAGCATCAGGGTCTTTTCCAGTGAGTCAGCTCTTTGCATCATGTGGCCAAAGGATTGGAGTTTCAGCTTCAGCATCAGTCCTTCCAATGAACACCCAGGACTGATTTCCTTTAGGACAGACTGGTTGGATCTCCTTGCAGTCCAAGGGACTCTCAAGAGTCTTCTCCAACACCACAGTTCAAAAGCATCAATTCTTCGGCGCTCAGCTTTCTTTATAGTCCAACTCTCACATTCATACATGACCACTAGAAAAACAATAGCTTTGACTAAACAGACCTTTGTTGGCAAAGTAATGTCTCTGCTTTTTAATATGCTATCTAGGTTGGTCATAGATTTTCTTCCAAGGAGCAAGTGTCTGAATTTCATGGCTGCAGTCACCATCTGCAGTGATTTTGGAGCCCAAGAAAATAAAGTCTCTCACTGTTTCCCCATCTATTTGCCATGAAGTGATGGGACCAGATGCCATGATCTCAGTTTTCTGAATGTTGAGCTTTAAGCCAACTTTTCCACTCTCCTCTTTCACTTTCATCAAGAGGCTCTTTAGTTCTTCTTCACTTTCTGCCATAAGGGTGGTGTCATCTGCATACCTGAGGTTATTGATATTTCTCCCGGCAACCCTGATTCCAGCTTGTGCTTCATCCAGCCCAGCATTTCTCATGATGAACTCTGCTATAAATTGTCACCTTGCTTATTTAACTTGTGCAGAGTACCAAACTGTAAGAAGTCCAAATAGATACAACCTTGAGGTTAACAACAATAAGAATATGCCTTTTGTATTTCATCAGCAGGAACATATACCAAGGATCTATATATAAATATGGGTTTCAGGAGAATGGAGGTTCCTCAGAAAAAACCTAAAAATAATGCCACTGTATGACCCAGTAATTCCACTCCTGGCCATGTATCTGCAGAAAGTGAAAACACAAATTCAAAAAGACACATACATTCCCAAGTTCACAGCAGCACTTTTTACAATAGCCGGGACATGGAAGCAACGTGTGTCCATCCCCAGAGGAACTGAAAGAGAAAAGTGGCACATAGATGCCACAGTGGAATATTACTCAGCCATGAAAAAGAACTATGCCATTTGCAGCAACACGGATAGACCTAGAGATGATCACACTCCATGAAGTCAGACAGACATCCTGTGACATTACTTATATGTGGGGTCTAAAAAGTAAAACAAATAAATATAGTAAGACAGAAACATACTCACAGATCTAGGGAACAAACTAGGGGTGACCAGTGGGGTGAGGGAATGGGGGAGAGGAGAGACAGGGTCAGGGATTAACAGGTACAACCTACTACGTATAAGGGGGCTTCCCTGATAGCTCGGTTGGTAAGGAATCCGCCTGCAATGCCGGAGACCCCGGTTCGATTCTTGGGTTGGGAAGATCCCCTGGAGAAGGGTTAGGCTACCCACGCCATATTCCTGGGCTTCTCTGGTGGTTCAGCTGGATAAAGAATCCGCCTGCAACGTGGGAGACCTATGTATAAGTGCTTCCCCGGTAAAAGGTCTGACTGCCAAGTCAGGAGATGCAAGAGATGCAGGTTCGACCCCTGGGTTGGGAAGGTCCCCTGGAGAAGGAAATGGCAACCCACTCTAGTATTGTTGCCTGGAGAATCCCAGGGACAGAGGAACCTTGCAGGCCACAGTCCATGGGGTCACAAAGAGTCAGACATGACTAAGCACACAGCATACACCCCCCCCATACACACACTCTACGCATAAAATAAATAAGCTACAAGGATAGTTCAATACAAGGAACATGGCCAATATTTTACAATAACTATAAATGGACTATAATCTATAAAAATTTCGAATCACACACACCAGAAACTAATGTAACGTAATCAGTGATACCAAAATTTAAAAAAATTTTCTGGTTTTCAAGCAGCAGGAGTTATATAAGATTGGCGGATGATACAAAAGCTCTCTTTCGGTCTTCCTTCTGAAGCCTACCCTTAGAAGTGCCCGGAATTGCTCCCGAGAATAGCATAAGTTCCTTTCTCAGTCCTCATTGTCCCTCTCCAGGGAAAACAGAAATAAGCTGGATACAGGGAACAAATCAATTGGTTGACCCTGGCGTGGGATACAGTGGGGGCCCAAGAAATCTCTCCAATGAGTGACCAGGGAATGCACAGACCCCGGTCCGTGAAGGAGCGGGTAACAGAGGAGTAACCAAACTTTGACAGAGACTCAGAGATGTAATTCCCTATTTCTTATGCTCCATCCCACGTTTTTCCCGCTCACTGACAGTACGTTCACACTTTACACAGACAGAAGACATCACCACTGAGCCTAAAGATTCACTTATCCTAAAGAGGCACAACCTATACCATCCTCTGACTGAACAAGACAGATAAAGCAGCAATTTTACTGCTTAAAGATTTCCCACGCAAATACACTTGAGTGTTTTGCTTCTGTGACGCTGTCTAGTGGATACACAGAAGTGTTACTTAGTGGGGGAAAAAATATCGAAGCAGCTGGAAAAAAATCCAGAAACAATGGCTTCTATAAAATCTCACAGATTCTGGCTTTAAACGCTTCCCAGTACCTCATTAATACTAGTAGCAGCCATCCCGAAGCCAGTTCACAAAGAAACCTAAGAAATATGATCTGAAGATTGTAAAAACCCTGAAAAGCTTGTTTCCCAAAATGCAATGTGGAACTTAAAATGCTGTCTGTAAGTCTAGTAGCAAATTTACTAAGACACAAATCCAAATGTTTAGCTTCGTATGGTACAGCGTCTGCTATATAAATACCTATCTGGAGCATCAAGAGAAAAAAAAAAGGTTATTTTATGGAGAAATTATAAGTAAAGGAATTCACTGTTTGTTGTTTGCATTTGCAATTTATTCTCATGGACCAAAAAGTCTGCTAGCAAATGCAAAAATAGTATTACTGAAAATGAGATCCAGATCGACTTGGCGGTCAGAGCAAATGTGGGTTTTTCAAACCATAATTTCAAATTTTCTGAAGCAATCATTCATCTGTACTTTTTTTTACAACGGAAATTATTAAATACTATGCAAAGCGGCAAAGACAAGGAAAAAGAAAAAAGCCCAGTGTCTATCTAATTGGTATGGTCATTCCTTACTTTTCCATAGGTCATATGCTCCTGAAATCATAAATTCACACTCTCGACCAACCTGAGAGATATCTCCAGAATTCAAAGTCAACTAAATTATCAGATGGACCGAGGAATGTGAACCTGATTTTTTGAATACAGACGGCACATTTTAGTCCCTAAAGTAGGACCTTTATTCTATTTCCAGCACAACACGGGCCCTGATACATAGCAGACATACACGACCTGGGTACTGCGCTGACTCGGCACGCCCACCTAACAAAGTATTTAGAACCGCTGCGATGTCTTAACAGCAACGAAGAAGATTACGCTCACTATTTGAACACGGAGCTTGAGGATCGAAACATGGAATTTGGGGAAAGCTTCCAGCCGTGATCCTTTCACCTCCAGGCAACATAGCAAGAGGGCTATGTTGTATCTGCACTCCACGCCCAACTCTGGTACACTGGACAATGTTAACCGATCCTTAAGATTTTTTTTCCCTTTAAAAAAAAAAAAAAAAAACTCTTTATTGAATACTGCTTCTGCTTTATGGTTTGGGTTTTTTGGCCCAGAGGCATGAGATCTCAGGTCCCCCCAAACAAAGATGAACCCTGCACCCCATCCCACCCCCGCATTGGAAGGGAAAGTCCCAACCACTGAAGTGCTGATGCTAACTGATTGGGATTGATGGCATTTGAGAAGAAGACCTGTCTCATGAAAAACAAAAATCTGCCAACAGAAAAAAAAAA